CATTACATACCTAAATTGGTTTAGCTTTTGTTAGTTTTATAGTGGTTTATTTATTTAATGTGATTTAATTACATCCGATATTTGTAATTCTTTAAATTATTTCAATATAGCTTAGGCTATTTTATGAAGATATGACACTATTGTTTTGAGCCAACAAAAGTGGGCACGAAATTTGTAAAGTTTAATGTCTTTCTGTTGTATTCATATTGTGTATTATCTCCAAAACAAATAACAAACAGAAAAAAGCCGCGCAGCATCAACAGAGCTGTGAAGGGAGCGCTCTTTTCCTTGGTGTCACACACATATACAGTACAGGCATCTAAATGCGCACAAACACATATTTTAAACTTGACAAAAACTCTTGAAAACCTTTACTGTCTGCTGTGTGTTTAATATGGGGGTAAAGATTATTATGCATTATTGAAACATCAAGGAGGACGCTGCAAAGTCACTTATAAATTAAAACTTAATTATTTTATGCAACAGCCTTACATTTAAAAGTGAAACATAAGGGTGATCATATGCAAATAGACCCCAGCCTATAAGGATATATGTTTTCTTTTCCATATATTTATTTGTTTGGTGCATGTACTCGTGTGCGATCGGAAAACTGTGTCTGCACTCTGCCTCTCCCTTCACTCCACCCCGAAGCCCCAGTTGGCCCTCTTTGGCCCAAGGTTCGGCGGGCTGAAAAAGGCTGGCCGCTGGCCCCAAGAAAGCCCCGATTTGGCCCGATTAGGCCCTGGAAGTGACAGTGGAAACGCGACTGGCCTTGGCTCGCCCTGGCTCGTTCACTTTAAGCGCGATAGTGGAAACACGGTTAATGATTTATGCTAAGCTAAGCTAAAAGTTTTCCTGCCAAACCTGGAGATTGTCTTAATAGTTTTAAAAATGGTGAAAATTAGCTCTTTAACTCTAGGGGAGCTGTAAAACGAGCCTATTTCCAAAAATGAGGAGAGTTCCTTAAAGACAATAAATATAAGCAAATAATATTTACACTGCATAAATTGGTTCATAAAGAGTCTAATTGAAAATCAGACCAGCAAAAACATTGAATAAAACTTTAAAATAAACAAAAATAGTGAGCAAACAATTACTGATACAATCTAAGCCACACATTTGCAAGTCATTAAAGTGAAAATGTCAACATTTTGGTCCCCGTTGGACCCAGAAGTGGCAGAAAACATTTAGCGCAGACGCTCTTGTCTCTGACAAACCCCATCTCTTTAATGAGATGTATTAGCAGCATATTGGGCTTATCGGTGTGACCTAGAAAGATGAAATGGAGGAGTTAGAGAGTTGGAGCTCGCTCTCTATAATCCCTGGAGAGGAAAACATCCGTCTCTCTGCGGCCTCCATCTCCTGGGATGAAATTACTGCAGGGAAAAGTCCAGAATCCCACAAGGCAATCTCTACTTAAACAATCCTGCCTTTCCAAGACTCTGGATGCTTTAAGACACGAGCAGAATATATAGTAAAACAAATTACAAAAAGGCAGATAAAAAAGGGTGATGGGCCAATTTCACGCTTTAAAGAGCACTCCAAATAATAATGGGAAACTGGTAAAACATGTGCCACAATATAATGAAATATTAGCAATATATACACTGCTCATACACACACAAAAAGAAAAATCGATTATATACACACTGTATATACACTATATATACATTCATTAATTTTCCTTCAGCTTAGTCCCTTTATTTATCAGGGGTCGCCACAGAGGAATAAACCACCAACTAATCCATCATATGTTTTACGCAGCAGATGCCCTTCCAGCCACAATCCAGTACTGAAAAACACCCACACACTCTCATTCATTTAAGGCCCTTTAAGCTAGATTTTTCAATAGTCTACAGAACATATCATCATTATACAATAACTTGTCTAATTACCATAACCTGCCTAGTTAACCTAATTAACCTAGTTAAACCTTGAAATGTCTTTAAAAAATATCTAGTTAAATATTATTTACTGTCATCATGGAAAAGATAAAATAAATCAGTTATTAGAAATTAGTAAATAAAACTATTATGATTAGAAATGTGAGAAAATATTCTCTCCGTTAAACAGAAATTAGGAAAAAAATTAACTGGGGGGGGCTAATAATTCTTCAACTCTCTCTCTCTCTCTATGTATATATATATATATATATATATATATATATATATATATATATATATATATATATATATATATATGTATATATGTATATATGTATGTATGTATGTATGTATGTATGTATATATATATATATATATATATATATATATATATATATATATATATATATATATATATATATATATATATATATATAAAAACGTCCTGTTTGTGGCACATTAGTAAATGTGAGGGGGCAAACTTTTCAAGATGGGTGGCCAATTTGAAGTCAGCCATCTTGGATACAACTTTTGTTTCTCTACGGAGAAAACCGCAATTCACAAGCGTGTATTGAACCGTGGAGGTCGTACCGTACGGTTCAATATTATATAGAGAACCGTATATATATACAGTTAGAATCAGAATTATTAGCCCCCCTTTTCATTTTTATTCTTTTTTGAATATTTCCTAAATGATGTTTAACAGAGCAAGGAAATTTTCACAGTATGTCTGATAATATTTTTTCTTCTGGAGAAAGTCTTATTTGTTTTATTTCAGCTAGAATAAAAGCAGTTTTTAATTTAAAAAAAAAAACAATTTTGGGACAAAATTATTAGCCCCTTTATACATTTTTTTTTTCCCGATAGTCAACAGAACAAACCATCGTTATACAATAACTTGCCTAATTACCCTAACCTGCCTAGTTTACCTTATTAACCTAGTTAAGCATTTAAATGTCACTTTGAGCTGCATAGAAGTGTCTTAAAAATATAAAGTAAAATATTATTTACTGTCATCATGAAAAATATGAAATAAATCAGTTATTAGAAATAGGTTTCTAAAACTATTATGCTTAGAAATGTGCTGAAACAATCTTCTCTCCATTAAACAGAAATTGGGGAAAAAAATAAACAGGGGCGCTAATAATTTTGACTTCAACTGTATATATATATATATATATATATATAGTAATTAACAATGTTGAAATTGAAATGTTAGAGTATGCTTTGTTACATCTACAAGGGCACATTTAATGTGAACTCTGAAGCACATACAACTTTTCATTATGAATGATGATAGCAATTTAAAATCACAGCCATCCTCTACATATTTTCAGTGACCCTTTTCACAGAACGTATAATACAAGTATTCCTAACCTAATTAAACAAAGCAAGTGAATGAGGGTGAATATTCATCCAAACCTGCCCACAGCTCTCTTTCTCTCTCATTTATTTACATATGGCCAAGTTCAGCTCTGTCCACCTCCAGATAACCAGAGACAATGAGGGAGAAGAAGTACATCACTCCTCCAAATGAAACCCATGCAACTGCTTGAAACCGATGACTCATCAGGAGCAAAAACACTTTTTTGGGGGGGAAGTTTGTTAGCCATCATTCTGACCATTTAAATGCCATCTTCTACATTTCTGTAGACGTCTTCGTGACGCTCACTTGACATGTTAGTCACGCTTCTGCACCAAAAAGAAGTGATTTAAAGGGACAGTTCACCAAGAAATAAATTACTCACTTGCTCCAAACCTGTTTCAATGGCACAATAGTAGATATTTAGAAAAATGCTGAAATGTTGTAACCGTTGACTTCCATATTATTCATTTTTGCTAAAAAATAAATATATATATATATTACTGCTGCTTGTTCAAATTACCCGTTTAAAATGAGCTGAAACAAAATTCTTGTCATTTCTTTGGCCAATTTATGTGTTTTATGTTCAGTCCACTTAAATTTGTAAGCCATTAACTTAACTTAGGCATTTTGTGTTGGGACAACATAAAATAATTTTGTTGGTCCAACTACATTGGTTAGGTTGAGGATTTGTAGTTCCCTACATGCTTTGCAGGGAATTGAATGAGGAGAGGAAAATGTTGACAAAACAGTCACCTTAGGTGTTTAAAGTTAGACTTGGTAGAGTTTAATCTTCACTTTAGTTGAAAGATTTAGAATTTTTTTTTTTTTTTGGAGTTTTGAGAGTAGCACCTTGCAGAAGCAGTCATGCTTTGGGTGTTGGCAGCTTAATTAGCCAAAACTGGAATTTGTTGCTCTGCTCAGTGAGCCAATAACTCTCCTAAAATTAGTTCTGAGATCAGTCTCAATCGACTGTATGTGCAACCCATGAATTATGCTTAAATCAAATCAAATCACTTCTATTGTCACATCATCAGCAGCACGTGTGCTATGATGATTGAAAAGCTTAGGTGTTGGCTCCAGACAGTACAAAATACAGATTAGTGCAAATAAAATTACATTTCATTTAGGATAAAAAGAGACTTCAAAATGTTTGACACATAATATACATACAAAATATTATCAGACCTTTGAGTTAAATAAAAGTTAAATAAAAAAAAATTAAATAAAAATACAAATTTATTTCTCAAAATCATGTTGGACAACAACAGATGCAACCTGGAGACTCACTCTGACCAAATCATTTGAATCATTGTGTTTTAAACTAGAAATCTACTCTGACTGAATCAGTAAATCCTTAGCTGTATGGAGCTAGATTTGTTTCTTTATTATTCAATCAAAAATATTTAGTTTTAAAGAAAAATTAAGTATGTAGTAATTAAAAAATTTAAGATTTCAAATAAAAAACACGTTTAATTTAAAAACTTATGTCAATGATAACAAAATATTTTGGATTGCAAAAAATAAACAATTGTCCTATTATGCAGTTACCACAATTTTCATTGCACACTCATTAATTTTGCTCTCTTTTCTGCTGTCTTTTATTGCACATTTAGAATCTTTGCTTGCAGGTTGAAATGTTTTGCTTGTGAGTTGAAAAGTTTTGAACCCATGAATGCCAGGGTTAATTTTGTGTCTTTATTATTCAAACAAACATATGAAGTTTTTGACCAAAACTAGGTACAATGTAAATAAAAAATAAAAGATTTCAAATAATAAAAAACGTTTATTTAAAAAAAATCACACTGCAAAAAAATAAACTATTGCCATTTTATGCAGTTACCACCAGATTAATTCATTGTATGCTCATTCATTTTGCTTTCGGTTTTGTTCCATTTTTGCGGATCTAAAATCTTTGCTTTTGAGTTGAAAAGTTTTGCGAGTTGAAAACTGCAGCTCAGTGGGCGGGATCTTATGAAACACCTTATTCTATTGGTCATCTTGATTGAGGTCACAGGTTGGCCACGCCCATTACATTTTCGCGCGGTTGGAATTGCCTTCCTGACAGGAGCGAGCTAATGGCTAGCAACAGGTCTTCTTTAAGGTAAGTTAACTGAAACTGTATAATAACTTGTGTATTACCATCCACATTTCCCATCTGATTATGTTACGACTGCTAGTATTAAACTCTAGTCAGCGATATTTTTTAATTTTCTCGATTAACATTATGATGTCGGCCATCAGTACTGTACAGTTGTAAAGGGCAACGCAAGGCCAGTGTATTTTGGAAAATATACATTGATGTACCGTTAAAGTCAGGCTTTTGTCTGTAGATGATGGCCAGGTGTACAGTAGGTCTGCAAACAGTCTGGGAAACATTATCGGCAGCCCGTTGCTCTTAGTTTCCACTCAAAAGCTGTCTCTTTGAACTGGAGCATCATATTCATTCTCCACTGTTAGAAAATGTAGTAACTCAGTGTAACGTTATGTGTATTTCATTATGAACTTGACAAATATTTATTTAGTATATTTCGTTTGGCATATGAATGTTAGTTCATACATTAGTTAACTTGAATTAATAATGCATAGCATATCTGTTAAGCCATGATTAATCTTTGTTAATGTTTACTAAACATATTAATGCATTTTAAATCATGATGAACGAGTTAGAGTTTGTTCAGCATAAACTGTTAACGTTAACTTAGTCATGTTCTATTGTATCTCCTTATATTAACAGCTCAATGTAATTAGCCAATGTTTATGGACACATACAATAATGTATTTGTTCACTGACAAGATAACATAATTAAATAAACAACATTTATTCAGTAATACTAAATTTTTGTTAACGGAAACTTATACAAATAGTAATGTTACTTAATGCAGCAAATACTGAACAACTCACATTCTTCAACAGGCATGTTATTCATGTTTTTAAGACTTTTTACTAACATGATTTATCTCTAGCAAAGCATTAGTTAAGGGAATTAGGAACATTGGTGTAAAGTGTACACTACTTCAACACGTTACATTTGTAAACTGGCTTACCACTAACCCAACATTATAACTGATGTGTTACATCTTTGGGTTTATTATAAAGCAGTGATTTATATATATATATATATATATATATATATATATATATATATATATATATATATATATATATATATATATATATATATATATAAAATAAGAACAATTATGTTAGTAAAGAGTTAACGTTGGAGAGGTGCACACTTCATAATAAGCTTTCTGATTTCCTTAAAAAATGCTTAGTTACTAAGTGATAATCCATGTTAGTAAAGAGTTTACAAATGATAGTAACACATCATACAATGTTAAAGTCTTTGTTTTGAAAAGTAACGGCAGTTTGCTGGTGACCTTCGCTATATAATTTGTTTAGGCATTATTGCAAATGTTTGGTCTTTAAAGGAACTGTTATAAATCAGTTGTAAAGTAATTTAAATGTGGTTAACAAAAGACAACAATACATAAACAAGAGAGATATGTGGAATATAAATATTACATTAATCAGAACAATTTTTCATCTGTTTCTTCAGTTTATTCTTACAGGTTGATCACTCAGTCTTATGGGGCGTAAAACATCTGCTTTGACTCCTCGGATGTCCAAATCTGCACTGACTCCACAGACGTTTACATCTGCACTGTCTTAAATCAACGAATCAATATCTACAATCTACAATGATTCCACTGGCGTCCACATCTGCATTATCTCCTTAGACATCAACATTTGGACTGACTGACCACAGACATTTATTATTCACTAAACTTATCAATCACCACCTGTGCTGTGTTTAATTTTTTTCTGGAATTGTGTAGGATTTGGAAAATAGTAGATTTTGACTTTTTATAAATGATTATAAATATGATTTTTTTATACATTTATTGTTTCCCTTTCTGGAATAAAGGAATATAAACAGCTCTTTAGTAATCATTTAATGAGTCATACAGTTTTATGTCTGTTTATTTTGCAATAAAGAAATATAAATGTTTTTTATTTTATTAATTCAGCTAAAGTATTTCCCAGCTGTAGCTTTCAATAACAAAAATTCTGTTACATAAATGGTATAATACACTTTACTACAGTAAAGCACTACAGCATGTCTGTATAAATTATATTTTTATGTGGAAGGAATGTGTAGGAGATATTTATTTAGTAGTGCTTTTGCCAACATACATATATATATATATATATATATATATATATATATATATATATATATATATATATATATATGCATAAGCGTGTTAAGTAATAATACAGTAGTTGTAGGGATGTTCAAAAATGCCTGTCAGCTATAATTTAATATGAAATCGTGGCAGCGACCTGAATCTACCTTTTAAAAATGAGTTTACAGTCCATCTCATGATATACATATATATTACGTTTTCACGCGATTGTACTGGACTCCCTTTAGTGACCAGAGCGAGCAACAGGTCTTCTTCAAGGTAAGTTAACTGAAAGTGTATAATAACTTGAATATTACCATCCACATTTTCCTAAACTCTGTCTAGTCAGTGATATTGATGAATGCTCTCGATTGACTAACATTAGATGAAATACGTGCAAGAGATTAACAATGCATGTGTTCAAAAGTATGTGCACAGCTGAGACGTGCACAACTGTTCTCCATCGCGTCTGCATCCAGATTATGTTGGTGGACATACAGCTAATCTGACTAGACAAAGTTTAATACTAGCAGTCGTAACATAATCAGATGGGAAATGTGGATGGTAATACACAAGTTATTATACAGTTTCAGTTAACTTACCTTAAAGAAGACCTGTTGCTAGCCATTAGCTCGCTCCTGTCACGGAAGACAATTCCAACCGCGCGAAAATGTAATGGGCGCGGCCAACCTGTGACCTCAATCAAGATGACCAATAGAATAAGGTGTTTCATAAGATCCCGCCCACTGAGCTGCAGTTTTCAACTCGCAAAACTTTTCAACTCAAAAGCAAAGATTTTAGATCCGCAAAAATGGAACAAAACCGAAAGCAAAATGAATGAGCATACAATGAATTAATCTGGTGGTAACTGCATAAAATGGCAATAGTTTATTTTTTTGCAGTGTGATTTTTTTTAAATAAACGTTTTTTATTATTTGAAATCTTTTATTTTTTATTTACATTGTACCTAGTTTTGGTCAAAAACTTCATATGTTTGTTTGAATAATAAAGACACAAAATTAACCCTGGCATTCATGGGTTCAAAACTTTTCAACTCACAAGCAAAACATTTCAACCTGCAAGCAAAGATTCTAAATGTGCAATAAAAGACAGCAGAAAAGAGAGCAAAATTAATGAGTGTGCAATGAAAATTGTGGTAACTGCATAATAGGACAATTGTTTATTTTTTGCAATCCAAAATATTTTATTATTATTGACATAAGTTTTTAAATTAAACGTGTTTTTTATTTGAAATCTTAAATTTTTTAATTACTACATACTTAATTTTTCTTTAAAACTAAATATTTTTGATTGAATAATAAAGAAACAAATCTAGCTCCATATAGCTGAAGACTCAATCTGACCAAATAATTTGAATCAAAGATTTGTTAACTAGAGACTCGTTCTGATAAATCCTTTCAAAGGGTGTGTTTGAACTCGAAACTCATTCTGACTGAATCAAATGAATCACTGAATCATTAGCTGGAGTAACAATCTGACCAGATCTGAATTGACTTTTTAACTGCAGACTCGTTCTGGCTAAATCATTTGAATCAGTGTGTTTTAAACTAAATACTTGCTCTGATTGAATCAACTGAATCAGTGAATTATTAGCTGGAGACTCAATCTGACCAGAATAAAGACTTTATATTGGTTATATATATTGACTGGATCATTTGAATGAAATATTTGTTAACCGGAGACTCGCTCTAAAAAATTATTTGAATCAGTGTGCGTTTAAGTAGAAACTAGCTCTGAGTGGACCAACTGGACCAAGACTCAATCTGACCAGATCATTTCAATCAGGGAGTCCATTTGTCTAGGTCAAATTAATCTATTAATTGATATGTAAATAAATATTAATAAGAAAATACATAAATAAATAGAGGATAACCCCTTAAGATGCAACATCTCATTTTTGAGGTCAAAGGGGATTCTTTCTGAATCATTTGAATCAATGAATCATTTACTTCAAACTCACTCTGTGAAGCATTTCCCAAAAAAAGCCACTAAAAGCTTGCAAGATCTTTAACATTCTGCTTTAAAAAAAAGTACTAGCATCTTATATAGCCTGAGGGTGAATCCATTAACAGTTTTCATTTGCCTTTAAGGACAATAACGAACCATTTATTTAAGAACGTCTATTACTATTACTGTAACTCCTCAAGAAGATGTCACCAATGTCTCATTATGAACAAGAAGTCCCTACCGCCCCTTAAGGGATGTAAAGAATCTGTCACGTAATGAAGATATATTAAGATGGGAAACATATGTTAATGATGAATGATTGGTCTTTCAGCAAAGCAGGTGATAATGTAACCGAATCAGATGGGTGATTCCCTGATCCCATTACCTTTTAAACCCTGCCCTGAAATGTGATTGTGATCTAAATTGCTTGGTATATTAGTGGTGACAGTCCAATAAAGCGTCTTCAAGCATATCAGCCTATAGGGATGATTTTCAGTCACGAGAATTAATGTTTCTGAATAGCATAATGTACTTCTGAGGAGATTTACACTCACCGGCCACTTTATTAGGTACACCTGTCTGACTGTTCGTTAACTTAAATTTCTAATCAGCCAATCACATGGCAGCAACTCAATGCATTTAGACATGTAGACATGGTCAAGACAATCTGCTGCAGTGCAAACCGAGCATCAGAATGGGGAAGAAAGGTGATTTAAGTGACTCTGAATGTGGCATGGTTGTTGGTGCCAGACGGGCTGCTCTGAGTATTTCGGAAACTGCTGATCTACTGTAATTTTCACACACAACCATCTCTAGGGTTTACAGAGAATGGTCTGAAAAAGAGAGAATATCCAGTGAGCGGCAGTTCTGTGGGCACAAATGCCTTGTTGATGCCAGAGGCCAGAGGAGAATGGCCAGACTGGTTCCAGCTGATAGAAAGGCAACAGTAACTCAAATGACCACTCGTTACAACCGAGGAATGCAGAAGAGCATCTCTGAACCCACAACACATCCAACCTTGAGGCAGATGGGCTACAGCAGCAGAAGACCACACCGGGTGTCACTCCTGTCAGCTAAGAACAGAAGACTGAGGCTACAATTCACACAGGCTCACCAAAATTGAACAACAGAAGATTGGAAAAGCGTTGCCTGATCTGATGAGTCTCGATTTCTGCTGCAACATTCGGATGTTAGGGTCAGAATTTGGCGTCAACAACATGAAAGCATGGATCCAGCCTGCCTTGTATCAACAGTTTAGGCTGGTGGTGGTGGTGGTGGTGTAATGTTGTAGGGGATATTTTCTTGGCACACTTTGGGCCCATTAGTAACAATTGAGCATCGTGTCAACACCACAGCCTTCCTGAGTATTGTTGCTGACCATGTTCATCCCTTTATGACCACAGTGCCCATCTTCTGATCGCTACTTCCAGCAGGATAATGCGCCATGTCATAAAGCGTGAATCATCTCAGACTGGTTTCTTGAACATGACAATGAGTTCACTGTACTCAAATGGCCTCCACAGTCACCAGAACTCAATCCAATTGAGTATTTTTGGGAATAGAGCATCTTTGGGATCTGCAGCAACTGCGTGATGCTATCATGTCAATATGAAGCAAAATCTCTGAGGAATATTTCCAGTACTTTGTTGAATCCATGCCATGAAGGATTAAGGCAATTCTTAAGGCAAATGGGGGTCCTACCCTGTACTGATGTACCAAATAAAGTGGCAGATAAGTGTAAGTTTTCCTTTTACAATTAGCTTTTCAGTGTGTTTCTACTAGACTTGCTTTTTTTGGACTGCGGAATCCCCTATGGTCACCTTACCTCCTGTGAGCTTGCATTTATCAATATTAAAACAGACGCTGCTTTTAAAGGAAATTTTCCTGCAGCTCTCTATTAATAAGTTAAATCCCTAAAAGTCTAGCAGACCTAACATGCCGCTCTCGTTTCTGTGACATTCGCTGTCAAAATATTGTTAGCTACAGGCATTACACCATTCGCTGACCTCCTATTGCTTAAAAATGAAAAGAACCAGCTGAAAATCGGCATGTTTGATTTGATTGGCTGGTTCACAATGTCTTAAAACTTCTGAACATTTATTTTTATCATCATCATATATTATACAATTTTCAGTTTACTGTCAAATCTGCCAACTTCATTTAGTTTTTTGGTTATATGTCAAATAAGCATTATGTACAATTTAGTATAAGAAATGACCTCATATTGATTTAAAATGAAAAGAACCCACCAGAAATGACCCGCCTGATCTGATTTGCTGGTTCACAACTGGAGACTCACTCTGACCAAATCATTTGAATCAGAGTATTTAAATAAAAAAATCAGTCTGACTGAATCAACTGAATCAGTGAATCATTAGCTGGAGATATAATCTGTCCAGATCATTTTAATGGAGAATCATTGAACTGGAGATTCGTTCTGATTAGACCATTTGAATCAGTGTTTTAAACTAGAAACTTCCTCTGACTGGAACCAACTGAATTAGTGAATCATTAGCTGAAGACTCAATCTGACCAGATCATTTAAATTTGAATAAAATAACTGTTAACTGGAGATTCGCTTTGACCAAATCAATCAGTGTTTTTAAATTAAAAACTTATTCTGGCTGAATCAACTGAATCAGTAAATCATTAGCTGGAGACATAATCTGTCCATATCTGATGTGAATTTTTAACTGGAAACTTGTTCTGGCCAAATCATCTAAATCACTTTTTTAAACTAAAAATGCACTCTGATTGAATCAACTGAACCAGTGAATCATTAGC